AAAAAAAAAAGCCTTATTAAAGTTTCCAGGTTATGAGTTAGCTTCTTTCATGAGATTGGGGGCTGCATGGATGTTAAATTTCTTTGCTAGAGACTCAACAGAAGCTGAGTTTTCATGCAGGGTGTTTTCCGGTGCTGTATGTAGACACGATCCTCTCTTGATTGAGGGTAATGGTCGATGTGTGGCTGCACAGCATTTCTTTTGGAGCTCTTTATGGTGCATTTGATCACTTTGTGGTGAAAGCTTTAAAACTGCTCAAACTTAAGTTCTGCAAATTGAGGAAAATTTAGACTGTCTATAGTTGCTGGTAAAACTACAAATGAGATAGTCATGTTAGCCCTGTGTCATTAAGCTCTCCAAAGAATAATATTAATTACTTATTAAATTTAAAATCTATATGATTAAAGTATGCTATCTGTTCCTCCTATACATTTCTAATATAATGTTATAGATTGAAACTGTGTTTTATGCTCTAAAATAGAAAAGTTTAATATTTATTCAGCACTGTAAGAGCAGATTTTTGCCTTGTCTTGTTGAGTAGGACATGGGTCTTGTTAAGAACGGAAGGTGGTCGATCTGTCTGTCTGAGCTCAAGAAATGGTGCAGGGAAGCACAAGATGTAGGGGAGGGCATGTGTCTGAGTGAGTCTACCATGTGGCTTCCTTTAATCTTTGTGTTTTCCTCACATTCTAACTAGGCTTTTTTCCTTCTAGAATTCTATGAGGAAATCCTTTCCCTGGCGTACAGTTTAACCTGCCACACCATCTCCCCACAGTTGTGGCAGCTCCTGGGCATTTTATATGAAGTTTTCCAGCAAGATTGCTTTGACTACTTTACAGGCATGTGTTGGCCCTACAATAGCTTTGCTTTTCTGTGTCTCGATATATTCCCCTTGACACTTGAAATAAAAACAGATGTTTCAAGTATCAATCAGAAACCATTCTCGTTTTTCCAACAGATAGAGGTAGAATGGCAGTAGCGCTCTTCTAGCCTGACACAGGAAGGGGCAGAGTGTGTTTCCCGTGTCTTATGTTAGTTTGCAACCAGAGCATATATCCATATGTTGAGTAAATATTTCTGAACACAGCTCAGTTGTAAGCACTGTTCTAAGTCCAACAAACCAACACTGAACAGCTGCAGCTCTCCTGTAGCTTGTGGGAGATGGGAACAGGGAAGACACACAGACCAACAATCCAGCAGTGGCAGTGTACCAGGAAGTGCTGATTGTAGTCAGGGAACAGGAGCATTCAGGACAATCGCCCCCACATGTGGTGAGCGTTTTAACCTTTCTCACGCATTACTTCAGGTGGAAATGGGGCAGGTGCATCACATTCATTTCTAGAGTTTGTGCTTGCTAGGAAGACAGTGTGGGTGCCACAGGAATGTACCAGTGAGAATCATTTATTTCGACTCCTGTTGTTCAAGTCTGAACAGGATTTTGAATCTTCCCAGATATGATGCCTCTCCTGCATAATTACGTGACAGTGGATACCAACACTCTGCTGTCAAATCCAAAGCACTTAGAAGTCCTGTTCACAATGTGCAGGAAGGTAAGCACATCTTGTCCGCAGTCATGTGATTCTTCCTAATGTCTGAGTGTGTTACTTTACCAGAATAGGCTTGTCAGTTTGCGCTATGAGTTTGGGATTGTTGTAATTTGAAAGTTTCACAATATGTGTTGTGTTTATAAATGTTTATCACTTCAGTACCAATGTACTTAGAAATTTTCAAAGTCAATACAATCATTTCTCTGTATCCATAGGAATCATCCTGGAGGGAATGCTCAAGTCCCTCTAGGAAAATAGCATGTATTTGCCTGTGACCCACGTACATCCTGCCATGTGCTCTAATCCCCTCTGGATGACTGATGTAGTGTAAATGTTTTGTAAATGGTGTTAAATCCTGATGTTGAGGGAAAAACAGCAAGAGAAAGGGTCTGTACACAGTCCACATTGGAGCCAGGTTTTAAGGAAAAAAAGTGTGTGTGTGTGTTTGAGACAGGGTCTCCCTGTAGCCCCAGCTGTCCTGGAACTCACTATGTAGACCAGGCTGGCCTCGAACTCACAGAGATCCGCCTGCCTCTGCCTCCCAAGCGCTGGGATTAAAGGCATGCGCCACCACTCCTGGCAATAAAATAGTTTCGACTTGTGGTTGGTTGGTTTCACGGATGGGGTACGGATGGCAGCCTTCTCCTTTACTTGCTTAAAGGGAAGTGCTGGGGAAGCTGATGGCACAGTCTGCCGGCCTGTCACCGGTGGCTCCAGTCTCTCCACCTTTTGTTGGCTGCTGCGTATATTGGAAGCCACTGTATGTAGGTAATTTGAACATAAGCAAAACACCAAACAATGACAGAAGCTGTAAAGAACTTCACTCAGCTCACACATGGTAACTCATGGATGTATTGTGCATAGATATGGTTACCCATCATGCCACCGTAACCACAGATACAGCTGGCCCTCTGTCGGCTATGTCTTGGAATTTTTGATGTTTTGATGACTAAACAATATTTACCCTTAGGGGTGTGTGTGTGTGTGTGTGTGTGCGCGCGCGTGTGTGCACATAACTTGCATTACATCAAGCTGGCAGGCAGATTTTGGAAAGCTCAAATAGAAACTGAAAAGTTTGGCCATGGAGCAGGGAACAAAATGGTCAGAGTGCAGTCCCTGGCTCTCAGCAGCAGAGAGGTGTACCAGGGTTTCATACCAGCTCTAAACTGGTAGCAGTATATCTGGTTTAGGTCCCAGTTGAATTATAAAGGTCCTGGGAATTGTGGGAAGTCATGAAGCTTCTTACTAAGCTGAAGAGTTGAATGGAGATTTTAAGTCTCCTCTGTCTGTGGCAGCTCCTTTGTTGGCTCATTCTCACCTTCAGGTGTAGGGATGTGAGGGAAAGGAGGAAGGAGGCCACAGCAGAGAGTGTAACTGCCCTGTGTAGCCCATGAGTAACCCAGCTGCACTGTGTAACAGACACCTAGGAACTGATGTTTACAGTGATGTTCTTGTCAGTAGTTAGAATAGATTCCATATTCTTGGATTTAATACTAGCTCGTGTATCTTGAATTCTTGCAGCACATCAGGTATTTCCCAAGTACTTTTTGTTTTTGTTTTTTGTCTTTTTGAGACAGAGTCTCCCTGTAGCCCCAGCAGGCCTGGAATTCAATATGTAGACAATCATATTGTATGTAAATAACCTGGATAAAATTTTCTTCTATCACCCTGTGTTGCAAGAAACATACTTTACAAGTCCAAGTGCTCTCAGATCACTTCCATTTCTCTCAATCTAAGAGAGTCTCTAAAAATTCTGCAAGGACGTCTGAAGTACCACCGTCAAGAAGGAAAACTAGGGGCTGGAGAGATGGCTCAGTGGTTAAGAGCACTGTCTTCTCTTGCAGAGGACCCAAGTTCGTTCCCAGTACCCACGTTCAGTTCCCAGTACCCACATGCCAGTTCATCTGTCTGTAACTCCAGTTCCAGGGGATCCAATACATCTTCTGGCCTCTGCAAGCATTGCACACACATGGTGCACATACACACACGTAGGCAAAACACTCACACACTTAAAATACAAACCCCCAGCAATTCCAGGACTGAATTCACCAGGGAGGTTTGCTTCTTCTGGTCTTGGTTGACTTCCCTGCAGTTGTGCTCATGCTGAGCTGACCTGTGTCACTCTAGGTACTGTGTGGAGACGCGGGAGAGGATGCTGAGTGCCATGCTGCCAAACTGTTAGAAGTTATCATTCTTCAGTGCCGAGGACGGGGAATTGACCAGGTGATGCATGTCGGTAGAGCGCCCTGCCAGACACTGACCCAGAGCATGTCTGTGCCTGGCTGACATTCTGTTTACGTTTTGATGGGCATTAGCAAGGCAGCCTGGAGTTTGTACTTGCTGGTGCAAATCCCATTCAAATGAAGTTCAAGGAAAAAAGCCACACAGAAATTCATGACAGCAACAATAGCAGAAGTTCACGAGTGTGTGTCGTAGAGATCATATATGGCTTGTAAAGTAAAAACCATATTTACCCTCTGGCTCTTCCTATAAGAAGCCTGCCAGCCCCTGCTATACGTAGTGACACATAGGTCCATCAAACAGCAAAATTACAAGATCACAGGCCAGGGTATGAACGGGTTCTCTGCTGATGAGCGAGGAGGCTGCAAGGAGACTGTCTTGGGTGGAGGTGTGAGGGTACCCATTTTGCTCAGGCACAGCAGTAGGAAGTGGGGAACAGGGTTTACAACAGGGGACTATGTAGGAAGCATAAGGAAAGGCAAGATGGAGGAGAGAGCTGGGAAAAGCCGAGAGCCCGGGTTTGCCTGGAACCTCCCCAGGTCAGGACACTGATAGGCCCCGGTGTGTGGGGGCAGAGATGCCACCCACATTACACCAAGGACTGTTAATAAGTACTCATAAAACAAAAAGCATTCCAGGGTCTAATCTAGGGGAAACAGGGCAAAACTAAACTCTTAACAGAATCCATTGATGATACCTTTATATACCATGTCTAGGAGAGCGTGTCCAGCCACATTGTTTTCTGTGTTAGCTATAGAAGTGTTAATGCTTCCCAAACCCCAAAGGCTGACTATCGATTATCTGAAAATGTTTGAATAATGTTGATTCAGAGGCACGTCTTGATAGAGGGGATGTGGAAACTTAAGTTTGATGGTTTTATCTTATCAGAGACTTGCAGAGAGTTGTAGGAGGTGGACACAGTTGACTCTTTGGTTTGGAGGAATGCAGTAGGTAGGAAGGAGTTGCCTCATCTAGAGCACGTGCATGAAGTCAGTAAGGATCTGTGTTGGAATGCAGGGGTTTGTACTAGACCCGAGTGGCAGCAGGGTTGAGTAGTTCAACACAACACACCAAAGGACTAGGTGATCCCATGCTATTGTGCACACCATGTATCAGCCTGGGCCTCCTGCTCCTCTGTGTTTCCTCAGCCACGGTTATAGTGAAAGGCTGGATCAGCCTCAGGTTCAGGCCTTTAGGCAATACTTGAGAGGTGAAGGTGAGTTAGTTATTTCTACTGACGGGTTGATGTGTCTCATCTGAGAAGCTTGGTTCTGTTGGTGGCAATCATTAATTCTTCATTTATTAAGTGAAATATCTCTAAGTGTTTTCTCATAAGTCATCAGGTTAGTGTAGAGATAATCTTTCACAGCTTTGGGGTCTATGTCTGTCCAGTCAGTCCTATTTCATCTTGTTTTAATATAGCGGAAAGGGGTAATTGTGTTACTAATAAAGACGTCAAGGTTATTTACCTCTTGGCTGCTTTACATGTGATAGTAGGCATTTGTTTACTTTATAAACTTTAATTTTAAAACAAGTCAAAAGATTTTTTTCCCCCACAGCTAGTTTATACTTCTTGTGAATTTACTGATCCTTAATGTTATTCCATCATGATGGTAATTTTTCATGTAGTAAAAATCAACTGCATGCATGTTGCAGTCCAGTCAGAACCAAGAACAGGGAGTGTCTAAATGAGTGACGATCCAGGTTCGTTAGCACTGCAGTCAAGTGAAGTGGGGGCCACAGTTCTTTGGTGGCTTTCAAATTTCATGTGTCACAGTTGGGACCTTTTAAAGACAAACCGATTGTGTCTCATTCATTTATTTCCCATTTGAAGTAAATCCCACCATCATTTACCTTAAATATGGAAATGGCCAAGTTGGTGAGCTGGTTTTGAGCCTGGAGCTTACGGGACAATCTCCCTCTAGTTCCAATGTGAACGTAAGATGGAACAAGACTTCTTGGACATCAAGGGACTTAGTCTTTCTGGGTTTGAATAGGCAGGTCTTTCTTTTGGTCTTTTTGACACAGGGTCTCCCTGTAGCCCCAGCTGTCCTGGAACTCACTATGTTGACCGGGCAGGTCCTTTAAATAGCTCCCGCACAGAATTTAAATAAGCAGACTTTTATGTCATAAAGACTTACTTATGGGTGCTATCACCAGCATTGGCTCTCTGGGGTGTCTGGTTGCAGTGGATAGCTAGCTGACTCTGCTTCCGTCTCATCCTCTAGTGTATCCCACTGTTTGTTCAACTTGTCCTGGAGAGACTGACCCGTGGGGTCAAGACCAGTGAGCTGCGCACCATGTGTCTTCAGGTGGCGATCGCCGCGCTGTACTACAGCCCCGAGCTGCTGCTGCACACGCTGGAGCAGGTCCAGCTGCCGCACAACCCAGGGCCTGTCACCGCACAGTTCATAAATCAGTGGATGAATGACACTGATTACTTCCTTGGGTATGGTCTTTGGGTTTTACATGGCTTCACTGTTGCTGGGTTTAATTTTTTTTTTTTGGGGGGGGGGGCAAGGTCTCACTGTGTAGCCCTGGCTGATCTGGAATGAGCTATGTAGTAGACCATGCTGGCCTCAATCTTACAGAGATCTGCCTGCCTCTGCCTCTCAAGTGCAGGTTTTAAAGACGTGCGCCATCATACAGCTGAGTTTGCTTTTTAATATCTGCATAGAGGAGTAGCATGTTCAGAAATAATCATATCTTGGGAACTGTTTTTAGTGAATAGTCACTTAAGGTTTTGAGAATTAGGTACATGTGTTAGCATCATAACCTGATGGAAAGAACACAGGCTGAATCAGCCAGAGCCTTCCTCCATTGCGTCCGACTGCTGTGTGTTGTCATAGCTCTAGGCAACTCTGGGCTCTGTGGTTAGTGTCTGTGTAAATGTTCTATGTGGAGCCAAGTGTCTAGGGAAGGTTCCAGTTTGGCAGAGGTAACAACTGGCCCAGGATGTTCAGTTCTTTGCAGATCTGGAATATATATATATATCTGCAGTATAGCCCAGGCTGGCCTTGAGCTTGCTCTGTAGTCCAGGCTCACCTTGAATGGCCTCAGCCTCCTCAGCACTGGGATTACAGGTGCGAGCCTCTGCACTTCCCTTCCCCACTGCTCCTTGACAACAGCAGTTGGTTTGTAGAATTTGCATTTATGCAGGACTTCACTTCCTTTTGTGGTTTTCAGAGTTTGTACTTTGTGGCCATTGCGTTTCTTTTCGACATTTCCAGGCATCATGACCGGAAGATGTGCATAATAGGACTGAGCATCCTCTTGGAGCTACAGAGCCGACCTCCTGCGGTGGACGCCGTGGCAGCACAGATCCTCCCATCCATCCTCTTCCTTTTCCTTGGCCTGAAGCAGGTCTGTGCTACTCGGCAACTGGTAAACCGCGAAGATCGCTCAGAAGCAGAGAAAGCCAACGTGGAGGAAAACGGTACAGTCGCCTGATTCTGATGAGTGCTGCTGCAGCTGGTTTTGCTTTTTTGGTTTTGAGACAGGGTCTTGCTGTGCAGCTCAGGCTGGCCTTGACCTCATGCTCCTCCTGCTTCAGTCTCCTGAGTGCTTTGAGTACGTGCCTGCACCATCATGGGTTTTCTTTGCATTTTAATCTGTTTGGCGTCATTAAGCAGATTAACATTCTTTGGCCTGTGACACATTTAACAAATATCTGGGGCTTGCTTGACTTATAAATTATCTTGTGTAGGATGTCTTAGAACTCTCTGGGATTCCTAAGTGGAGCCTAGTGGGTAGGGTATGCAGTAGATGGTCTTGACTGAGTTATCGACTGGGGCTGTGGTTAAGAACACTGGTTATTCTTGCAGAAGACCCGGGTTTGAATCCCAGCACCTACATGGCAGCTAACAACTCAATTCCCAGCACCCACATGGCAGCTAACAACTGTCCCTAACTCCAGTTCCAGGGAAATCTGATGCTCTCTTCTGATGTCCGTGGACATTGCACGACATGAGTGCACTTATACAGGTGCAGGCAATACACTCATACACATAAAATGAAAGTAAATAAAATATTTTTTTAATGCTATAAAAATCTTTTATAAAACAATTCAGGATGAGCTAGTACTGGGGCTAGGTCAGTAGTAGAGCACTTGCTTACCATGTGTGAGTCCTGGGTTTGATCCTTAGCACCTCAAAGATACTTGTTAGCGTCAAGAATATTAGATGGTTATTTATCTAGTGATAAGACTCATTGATATGAAAACAACACTCACCACAAAGGGGATAAGAGATGGTTTATTCTGGAGCCAAATATGAGTGACCATGGCCTGGGAACACAGATCCAGGTTACCCCAAATTCCATGTTTCAGTGTGGTAACTGTTTCATGAAATTTTTGTAGTAACAGTAGTAACAAGAGTCATAAATCAAGTAGCTTTTTTCAAGTACGTTGGTGGAAACATTGAGTAGGTGGACACAGCAAGAGAATCTCGGCTGTAGGCCTCAGATGCCATCTGATGACACTCAGCCTTTTGGTTGGTGGAAGCTGGTGGCCTGCTAAATTAATACATTCCAAAAGGTTTTTATTTGTTAGTCACAGGATGGTATGTCAGAAACAAAGATGCACAAGGATTGCGTATTTAGGGGGCTAAAGATGGCCCACGATCAATGGTCATTAGGCTCTGGACCTGCAGCATGCCAAACTCTCCACAATCCCTGAAGTCCTAATCAGTTGATCAGCCTTTGTAGAGTGTTCAGTTGTGGGTTTTTTTCCCCTTTTGAGACAGGGTCTCGCTGTAGCCCCAGCTGGCCTGGAACTTGCTATGTAGACCAGGCTGGCCTCAAACTCACAGAGATCCGCCTATCTCTGCCTCCCAAGTTCTGGGATTAAAGGCAAGTGTAGAATGTTCAGTTTTAAGATGCAGTTTTTTTTGGAACTTTCGTTCAGAGCCTGCAAACTATTTTCTGGGGCCTGAGAAATTACATTATCCAGCTCCAAGTGAAGCTTGGAGGTTTTCCTCTTGTGGTTAAAAACAGACACTTTGATTAGTTAAGAAATCAGAATTCTTCCTAAAAAAATATACTGGTCAGGCCTCCATCTCATAGAGATTCACCTACCTCTGTGTCTGATGCTGGGATTGAAGGTGTGTGTCACCACCCCTGGTTAATCACTAGAGTTGTTTGGGACAGGGTCTTATCTGTAGCCCTGGCTGGCCTGGAGACCAGTATGTAGGCACGACTTGCCTTGAACTCACAGAAATCCCCCATCCTCCAAGGTCTGCATCACCACACCCAGCTCATTGTGACTTAAAAAAAAAATTATTTTTATTTCATGTGTTTGAGTGTTATGCCTGCATGTATGTAAGTGCACTCATGTAGTACAATGGCTGTGGAGGTCAGAAGAAGGCGTTGGACCCCCTGGTTACAGATGGTTGTTAGCCACCATGTGGGTGCTGGAAACCAAACCCAGATCACCTGCAAGAGCCTCTAGTGCTCTTAACTGCTGAGCCAGTTCATTTTATTCTAATTTTAGATAGATTGTGTGATGCTTTACATTTCCAGAATGTTTTATAATCCTTGTTTCATTCTTTTAAATGATTAAAATCCACAGAGGAAATTTCCAGTGAGGAGGAGGAGACAGATGCAGCCGCTCAAGCCATGCAGGCTCAAAACGGCAGGGTCGAGGAGGAGGACGACGACGACTGGGAGGAAGAGGTGCTAGAGGAGACTGCGCTGGAGGGCTTCAGCACCCTGCTCGACCTGGACAGCAGTGTGGACGAGTACCAGTTTTTCACACAAGCCCTGCTGAGTATGTCTGCACCCCGAGCAGGAAGATACTGTTTGTAAACGTACTTTATTTCTTCCTGTTAGAAGTTGCTGGGGATCTGCCCCAAGATTGGTGTAGACTCTTTAGAAATTTTTATCTTTTATTGTAGAACTACCCAAACATATTTAAGATGACACAGCACACTTGTTGGTTGTCCTGAACTTCCATCGATGCAGCAGCAGCATTGGGTCACCGGGTGACCCGGACTGTCATTTCATAAAGGAATTCTAGGCAAGAGTCTGCACATCATGCTCACCCTCAGGCACCAGTGGGCAGGCATTTTACAGAAAAGAGGAAACTGTTACAGGCACACACTGCTTAAAAACTGGCCATATGCCTGTTGATATTCCCAGTCTCTGTGGGAAGGAATGGATGGCAAGACGTAATGAAAACGATGCTTTTCTAAGTGAGCTAGTTACCGATTTTGCCCAGAAAGTGACACTACAAATCCAGTAATAGGACTCGTGAAAGCCACATGTCCAAAGGTTTTCTGCAATTGAGTAAGAGCCATAGTCTTGTATAAAAATGACCAAAGAAAGAATAAACCAGTGAAGGACTTAGAAAATCACACCTTTGATCCTAGCACTCAGGAGGCAGAGACAGACGGATCTCTGTGAGATCAAGGCCAGGTGAGTTCCAGGACAGCTGAGGCTATTGGGAGGCTCTGTCTCAAAAAGATCACCGCCCCCCCACCCCAAGTCATTTGTGATGAAAAAATCTTACTAATGTCCACTGTTTTATTGTTGGATAGTTCTGAGGTTGTGTTGTAATTTATTTGTACTGTTGAATGTTTAAGAATCTTAGTTTTTGGCTCTAAGCAACACTAAGGTGAACACCATTGTGTGTATAGTATTTCTGCTTATAGTTATTTTTGTAACACACCAGCAGTGTTCAGTTTTCCCAGAACAGGCGTGCTGTCCAGAGCGTGAGGAAGAAGCCAGCTGTGGAGAGGGAAGTAGGAAGGCAGGCTCCAAAACGGTCTGTAGGTGTGGCTCACACCTGACCACCCAAGTGCGGTCTCGGCATGCCTGAGATCCCCGGCTGCCTTTGTGGAAGGACCACTGGGAAGGGAGCCTCTGAAAAGTTCCTGGGAAGGAGGACGTAGAACTGAATGTGGCCGCTTTAAATGTGGATCCTGTTGTCTAATGCAGAATGTTTTTTTTTTTTTTTTTTTTTTTAACTAAGCAGATGACCTAAAGATGTGGCAGTTTACTTCTGGGGAGTCATGAGGTGTGAAATGCAAGACCAGCGGGAGGCCAGGCAGTATGAGCTTGCGAACTTAGGCGTGACAGGGCCCAGAGTACAGGATGGAGTCCTGTGGGAAGAAGTGTGCAGTTAGAGGACATTAAGGCACAGGTAGAGGGGTAGATTCGGGAGGGCATGGTCACAGATGTGAAGGTCTGCAGTGCTTGCCTGGGAGACCAGTAAAGCCAGTGATGGAAACGGGGGATAGGGAGCGTTGGAGAGGAAAATGTTAAACTTGGCTTCACTTGTGGGTTTGAAGTGAGTATCTGCCTGAAAAAGTCCGGGGGGAGAAGGGAAGGGTTTCGTGCAGTCTTGGGCCCTTGGATAGGAACGTGCTGGGGCTGAAGGCACTGGAAAAATTCTGAGGCGGGTCGTAACGAGGGGTCCCAGATGTTTCTCAGTGTTGGCAGTTCAGGGAATAGTAGTTGGGAAAACTCTAGTAGACTGTAAAGGGGACAGAATTAGGCCAACCAAAGATTTATGAAGGTGACCTTCCTCAAAATGCCCTCAGAAATGTTCCTCTGTGAGGATGAGTTCTATCACCATGTCTCTTACCATCTGAGATACTTTCACTGTGAGTGCATCATGCCTTTCTTGAGGTATCACAGTCACTGGCTCTTTCCTTTTCTCCTTCACAAAACCCTGAAATGCTACAGCTGTGCAGAATCGGGACGCCGCCTGGTACCAGCAGCTCGTGGCACCCCTCAGCGAGGATCAGAAGAGGACACTTCAGGAGGTGTACACATTGGCGGAACATCGAAGGACAATGGCAGGTCAGCCAGGCCTTCCCACGCTGGAGTCTGGTGTCAGGGCCACAGCCAGCCTCACTCGATGACTAAAGTTCGGGAGACTAGCCCTTCATGGTGATGAGGAACTGCTGCTTTTGTGTGGTGGCTCTCATTAGCCCAGGCTGGTTGAGACATGTGGTTCTCGTTAGCCCAGGCTCCCGGGTCCTGTGGTTGGTCTAGTTAGCTCAGGCTGGGCCGGGGACTTAGAATCCTCTTACTTTGGTCTCTGAGTGTTGGGATTACTGGCATGTACGGATAACTCCCGTGCTACATGGTTATTATTTCTTTTTTCTTGAGTAACTGGGGTTTGAACTGAGAATTTTGTGCATCCCAGGCAAACATGCTATTAGCGAGTTATAGTCATAGCCCTCCCCAACCCCCTTTTTTGGAGACAGGGTTTCACTTTGTAGCTTACTGTATAGTCCAGGCTAGAACTTCCTGTGTAGCCCAAGCTGGCTTCAAGTGAGCTATCCTCCTGTCTCAGCCTTCCTTGTGTAGAGATGTATGTATGTACCATCATGTGTGGCTCCTTTTTTTTTTTTTTAAAGGCAGGATGTTGCCAAGTTGGCCAGGTTAGCCCTCAAGTTCATGATCTTTGGACTTAAACTCTCCTGCCTCAGTCTTCTGAGTAGGCATCTGCTAGGCCTAGCTTGCTGATTCTTTAAATCGTGTCCCAGCCCTGTCAACACTTTTCCTTTAATAGGGGCCTGCTAGCCTTTTCTGTATTCATACTCTTTCATTATTTTGAAGCTAAAGTTAAGAAGTTAGGGTTGGACTGGGCGTTTTGGCACATGCCTTTCATCCCAGCACTCAGGAGGCAGAGACAGGCAGATCTCTGTGAGTTTGAGGCCAGCCTGGTCTACCTAGTGAGTTCCAGGCCTGCTGGGGTTATAGGAAGACCCTGCCTCGATAAGACCAAAAAAGAAGGGTTGGGACAGCTCTTGCTGAGGAACACTAACTCAGCCTATTACCCACCTAATAATATCTCAATCACAGATATGCTGGAAGCACTTTACAAATTCTTACATGGAGCTTGTGTTCCTGGACATGGAATGCCATATTGCTCAGTTTTCTACTGATCTTGCAAAATACCTAAGGGAGTCTTCATGGTGGAAGCTTGAGGTAGAGGAAGTTTGCTCATTTCAAGGCACCTGGAAGCAGAGAGAGAAGAAGGGGCTGAGGTCCCAGTATCTCCTTTAAAAGCACATCCCATGGGACTGAGGGATGCTCAGTGCTTAAGAGTGCTTACTGCTCTTCCAGGGACCTGAGTTTGGTTCTCAGCACCCACATCTGCTGGCTTACAACCACCTGTAACTCTAGCTCCAGGGGATCTGATACCCCCTGCTGGCCTCCAAGGGTACCTACCCCCCCATGGCGTGCGTGTGTGCGCGCGCGCGCGCACACACACACACACACGCACACACACAGGCACATACGTGTACATATAAAAATACATCTAAAAAAGTACACCCCAGTGACCTCACTTATTCCCTTAGGCCCCTTAAAGGCCCCACCACCTCCCAGTGGTGCCGCAGCTGGAGGTCAAGTGTTCAGTGTGTGGATGTTAAAGGCTACACCACAGCCAGTGCCCATTTATATCTGTTAGACTATGTGTTGGTGACTTGCTGATTTTCAGTTTTTAGACTGGAGAAACTTCTATGTTGGGATTACGAGCTCACTTATTGGTTGTCAGTGGGAAAGATCTTGTGGTTACAGAGCGTTTCAGTGGGTGACGTGGGGAGTTTTAGGTGAGGACTGTTCTGCAGGCTGGGGAAATGCAGGCCCTGGCAGTGTCCTGTGAAGAGTGGAGCCTGCACATTGTCTTCTAATGTCAGACTTATCAGATGTATTTCCACTTCAGTGACCGGTTTTTCCATGTTGAGAATACTGCTTGCTGATATGGGTCTGTTAGTCTGACATTCAAGTTAGTGGAGTCATTAATAGCACAAATTGCATTCCTTTTCAGTTGTAAGTATATGAAGAGAATTAAGTGTGGGGAGCACACTGTAATCCCAACTCTTGGGAGGTCAAGGCAGGAGGGTCAGGAGTTCAAGGCCGTCCTTGGTTACATAGTAAGTCAGAGACCAGCCCTGGCTACATGACACCCTTTCTCAAGCAAATGAAAGAAAAAGCTAAGTCTCTAAGGAGTCTGGCTTTTCTGAGGTCACCCCAACTCCCTCACCTTAAGCACTCTTCTCTCCTGCCCTCCCTCCCTTCTCTTTTTGAAAATACTAGAAGCAAAGAAGAAGATCGAGCAGCAGGGAGGCTTCACATTCGAGAACAAGGGTGTTCTCTCCGCGTTTAACTTCGGGACTGTGCCCAGCAACAACTGAAGGCTGAGCGACCGCGAGCGCTGTGCCCGCTGCTTGTCTCACGGGGCGTGTGAGGGCCGGGGACATGAGGGGCTGCCTCTTGGGGCCCCTGCTTTTCAGTTGCCCCTGGCATTAGGCAGTGGACCCACCCTCCTTCCTCTTGATCCTTCCTACCCTGGAATATATATTTTCCAACAGCCGCGGTAACGTATGAAATGAAAGAAAAGCAGAACATCAATGGGGAGGACAAAGCACGCGCCGGCCGCCAGGAGGTCAGAGTGGTGTACCGACGTGTGCGTCTCAGGTTTTTGCCATGCAGAATCAGTGGATTTATGCGGAAAACAGTGCCTTCTGTTGTACATGAATTATCAGAAAAAAATTTTTTTTCGAGTGCATTGCAATTTTTTTAAAGCATAAAACATATTTCTAGATATACTGTAAACCTTGGTTGTATGTCGACTCATTCTGCATTTTACTCTGAATTTACCGTCAGGCAGTTAGTGCACGTCACTCTGGGTTCAAACATCCCGGTACCAGGGACTTTCTTCAGGGGTTGCACAATACGTACTGGCTCTGGTTTTCAGATGTCTGACTTTCTTAAAAATTGTCTTACTCTTTTCTGTCACATTTTCCTGCCTTGAACAGAGTGATGTTTCAGGATCACAGATGTTTCAGCTCTGTGGTGACATTGGAGACTCACCATCTCTCAGCAGCCAGCAACCTTTAGTCACCAGGCCGAATAGCCAAACCCAGGGTTAGGAATCACACACTTCAACCGTGGGGCATCCGAATACCTAGCACACGTTGGTCTTCTAAGAGGAAGGTGCTGTGTCCACACTCCGGCTTTCGGATGGGGCTTGTGTCAGCGGTTACCTACCATTCCAGCTGTGTCGGACCAGGGCCTGGAGCGTTTTATAATTCACAACGTTTTCTTTTTTAGACAGTTTTACTATGTATGCAAACCAGACTGGTGTCAGATTTACAGTCCTCCCTGTAAATCTGCAAGTTGTCCCTCCCTCAGATGCAGCCTCCTGAGTGCTGAGTATATCACAACTGGTTTTTAATTTTTTTAAGGTCATGGTCTTGCTTGCAGTTCTGGCTGATTTGGAACTCACTGTGTAGCTCAGGCTCACCTCAGACTTGTGGCATCCTCCTGCCTCAGCCTCTCAAGTTGCTGGGATTACAGCTACCACACAGAAAGACCTAATACATCTGTCAGCTTTCTCACAGTCTGAAATTTCTCCAGTCTGATTTATCCAAGTCCTTATTATGGTTCAGTTTGCTGAAATTCTCCAAGGGTAGTCTCTTGGTCAGTTGGGTTTGTAGGTGAGTGATAATGTCGGTATTACAGAGGGAACCTTGCCCCGAGTTGGCCAGGAGCAGCACACGAATCACGGGCTTTCACTCACAAAGTGAAAACGTGTCCTCAGGAGTTGACCTGTGTTCCTGGGTATGATACAGATTTTCATTTTTGTGAAACATCTTCAGTTTAAATTTTCATCAGCAACTGGCAGAGCTTGTTCCAGGTGCTTCCTGTGTTACCCGCCCTTAACCAGATTAACTCTTAAAAATTTAGGTTACTTAATCCAGGTGTGGTGGTGCATGCCTTTGCTCTCAGTATTCAGAAGGCAGAGGCAGGCAGATCTCTGTGAGATTGAGGCCAGCCTGGTCTACATAGACCTACATAGGTCTACAGGGAGACCCTGACTCAAAAAGACCAAAAAAAAAAAAAATTTTTTTTACAGAAGTAGCTTGAAAAGCCATATGTTTCAAAGTAAAACGACCCCATGTTTTCTCTCGCTTCCTAAAGCACCAAAGCGGTGTGTTACCCACAGCTGGAAGGAAAAATGCACTGGGGGGCGTTTTAGACCTTAGAAATGCTTCGGTTTTGCCATGTCCCACATGGCTTAATTTAAAATAGGTAATATGCCTTCACACTGGACTGCAGGGGCATGCAGTTGTAGAGACTATTTTGTGGTGAACTGTTGTCTGCAGTATTAAAGGGAAGTATTCTGTGCATCACCCCATCTTGTTTTTGAATCCAGAGTTACCAGCCGTGCTAACCGGAATGTGATCTGGTTGCCTTGGAAATGCAGGAACTTACATGAATGTACTGTAAAAATAAACTGTGATCTGAGCTCTGCCATGTGGACTGTTTTCTGGAATGTGGAGATGCAGGTCTTCTTGGAGGAAGGGGGACTGTTGGCACAAGGGGACAGCAGATATCACAGCCAACAGGATCTCATCAGGAGCGGTGGGAGCGTGGGGGTGGCAGGGCCAGGGACCATCTCCTAAGTGGGCATCTAAGTGATGAAACAAAGATCATTCACCCACAGGCTGGAGCAAAGAGGAACCAGCGTAGGTCCATCTCCCTGTGGGTCACCACCAATGAGGTGAGGGCAGGACTGACTGGCCTTTGATTTTCAATTCTTCCTTTGTATGACTGAAGGACCTTTCTCCCCACTTGTAAATTCTGTGAGGACCACACTGATCCAAGACATTGTAAGTCGGTGAAAATTTCTAAGATTAAAAATTTACATTTATGTAAATGTAAATGTACAGTAGGATGAACTGTACTACAGATTTGTGTTCAGCAGAGATACTGAAAACTATAATAAAATATATGGAAGAGGTTTAGGGAAATTGAGCCCTGTATTAAGTACCATTGTGTGTGTGTGCATGCACAGGTTTCATTTAAAAAAAGATGATCCACGTGAGCCTTAGCCGCTAACCTTCCTGTTCCTACTTCACTGTCTCCACTGAGCCTCATATTGTACACTGGAGGCTCCCGGGGGTTGGGGCTTTGGAATCTCTTAGTGAACAAGCCTGCAAATTCATTGAAGAAAGCAATAGTTTTTTCTTTGGGGATGGACTTTGCTTGAGAAAGAAGCACAAGACAAACATGGCCGATGGTGTAGCCAGCAGGCAACAGATTTGGGAGGCAGGAGAGGCTGAGGCCTCGGCCTGAGGTAGAGAAAGGAGAGGGGGCTCTGTTGTGGGGAAGCTGCCACTGGAAGGGCAGTGGGTGCCCATGGTTCCTGCAGGACACAAGAGAAGCAGCTCACTGTGGAGGTCACCGTCTTGGAAGAAGATGTAGATGGGGTGGCTGCGTTCTCATCCCTGACAGGATGTCGGACAGCAGGTGAGGGAAGCCTCAACACATAGTGGGAGGGGTTGGGTGGAGAAAAGCTGCTTCATGGCAGCCTGGAAGCAGAGAGGCAGGAAGGAAAGATGTGACCTTTAATGCAGTGACCCACTGCCTTCAGTGAGGCCCCACCTTCCAAAGATTCCACAACTTCCCAGAGTAGTACCACCAGCTGGGGACCAAACCAGCACTCAAAGGTTCCTACCCACACCACAGCGGGGGTGATGGATTTGAATGCAGGGCTAGGAGCAGCTCAGGTAGGAGAGGGAAACCCTAGTTAAGATGGGACCCTCACAGCACGGCCTCATGGGAACTCTGCAGCTGTGGCTCAGTGCCCCAATACACAGCTCTTCACAGTGTAGGGTGACCCAGCAGCCCACTGCCTGTGACCTGGGGGCACAGTTGGAATGAACTCCAGCTGCTTTCCTTACCTGGCACACTCCTGGTTTGCTGTGGCTGATTGGCAGTCCACGTCAGTCTCCCCATCTCAGCTCCTGCAGCTTATCAAGTGTGCCAGAGGACTAGGATTCCTTCTTTTCCTAACGTGTTTGTTCTGCTTAAATCGTTGAGGCTTGAGGACAGAATGCTTTACACAGTACTTTGGCTAGCTGTTGTGCATTCTGGGAGGCAAATGCTAAAGAGGGTGAAGCAGGAGGATTACAAGTTTGAACCAGCCTACACTACAACTTTAGAGCTGGTCATAGCACTCACCTATAATCTCAGCACTTGGTAGCAGGCAGGGGGATCATAAATTCAGTCTGAAGTCATCCTCAAGCTACACAGGAAGTTGGAGGCCATTCTGGGTGGCCTCTCTCAAAAAATGAAGAGAAATTTAAAATATTAAAAATTGAATCCTGTAGCACAACAGAAAAGGATTGTATAACTGAGATTAAGTGGAATTTATCTTAGAAGTACAAGAATGGCTCAACACAAATTACCATATCACTAGAAGGACAGAAACACAATCATCTCAATAAATACAGGGAAAGTGATAAAATTTAACATCCTCTGATGAGTAAAAAAAAAAAATTTAAAAATTAGGTATAGCAAGAATTGGCCACAACACGACTAATGCCATATATGATAAGCCCACAGCTAATGTATTAAGTGGGGTTAAGTCGAGAGCCTGTCATCTAAGATCTGGAGCAAGACAAGTGTGCTAACTTCTACCACTCAGTGAACGTAGTTCTGCAAGTCCTAGCCAAAGAATTAGGCAAGAGAAGAAATGGAGGGCGTCCAGGTCAGAAAGAAAACACTGCAGATGGCATGATGTATTCTTTTGATTTATGTAATTTTTTTACACTTACTGTCCATGCATGTATGTTTGCACATATGTGCCACAGTGTACACGTGAAGGTCAGAGGATATTTGTGGAGTTGGCGCTTTCCTTCCACCACATGTGTTCCAGGGATTAAACCAAGGTCAGGCTTGGTGATAAGCACCTTTATCCACTGAGCTAGCTTGCTGGCCTAGCATAATCTTAAATGTAGAAAATTCTAAAGGCTCCACTAGAAACCTGTTAGAGCTGATGAGGGAGTTCTGTCAAAGTCTAGTATACAAGAACAACATACAAATTAGCATATATCTGTACCTGAGTAATGAACTAGCTGAGAGATTCAGAAAACAATCCTATTAATAAGAGCTACAAAAATAAATATGACCCAAACCTAGGAATAAATTTAACATAGAAAGTGAACAAGCTATAATTTAAACTTATAGATAAAACACTGATGAAATTGAAGAGGGGACACAGAAAACTGAAAGGCTTTCCATGTTCACAGACTGGAAGAATATTGTGTGTGCTTGTGTGTGTGGTGTATATGTGTATACATATTCATGTGTGTAGGTGTAACATCCTAGTGAAATAAGCCTGATGAAGACAGACAAGCACCACATAGTCTCAGCCATATGTTGAAGCTTAAAAAATGGATCTCAGGCTGGGGAACTAGTTCAGTGGCTAGGAACACTTGCTGTTCTGTTCCCAGGACCAACATGATGACTCACAACTGCCTGCACACTTGTGGCACACCGATGTTCACTCAGGCACACATACATGTACATAAATTAAATCTTCAAAAACAACAGCTGATCTCATAGAAATGTTAGCATCTCCGGAGTAGTTGGAGAACTGGGGTTATTGAAATGTTGATAAAGGAATATGTAATTATATTAGACACATATATAAACGATCATGTAATTACATTAGGAATATGTTCCAGAGAGCTATTCTATACCTTGCAACTCTTGTTACTGTTGATAGATTCATGTCTTAAAAAATGCAGGTGGGGGGGTGTTATCACCAGAAAAATGATAGATGTATGAAGTAGTGCACTTGCTAATTAGTAGATTTAACTATTCTATACATATGTATATTTCAAATTATCATGTTGTATTGTTAAAAACCCTAAACGTTAAATCAGAAGATCATTTACTTTCTCAATATACCTACACTTGACAGGCCCAGGCTGGCCTTGTATCTGACGGTGACCTTGAACTTCTGATCCTCCTGCCTCTACCTCCCCACGGTGGGATTGTGGGTGTACAGTCACCATGACCTGTGTTATGCAGTGCTAAGAATCAAACCCAGAGCTTCATTTATGCTGGACAAGCAAGTATTTTACTTTCTGAACTCCATGCCCGGCTTTCAAGAGGCTCTCACATTCTTTCAGCCTATGCTTAAAAATAGGGTAGTCGATTTAACTGCCAGGTGATGGTAGTTCCTTTCCAGCTCTTTCATGATCCCATAACCTGCATTAATCTTCACCTTTGGTCATCCTTTAGCTGATGGCTGCATCATGGTCTGTTGTAAAAACAGAGGAGTGACCCTCCCCCAAGATGTCCTATGACTGTGTAGCTTCAAATGGCAGAAGGAGATTAGGGTCCCAGGTAGAATTCAGCCTGTCAATCAACTGGCCTTAATGTAGGAGTGTATTCCTGGCCTATGCAGCTAGACCCCATGTAATCATTAGGTTTGTTCAGAGTGTAAGAGGGAGGCAGAAGGAAGGGTCAGAGTTGAGAGCAAGAAGATGAATCCATTATTGCTGATGTGGAAGGGGAAAGAGCCTGTGCGCTGGACAAGCGTTTGTTGTTGAGTTGACACACCTGGGTTGAAGGAGCCTCAACTGGGGAATTGCCTCTATTGGTCTGACCTGTGGCCATGTCTGTGGGGCATTTTCTTGATTGTTGAATGAAGTGTGAGAGCCCAGCCCACTGTGGACAATGCCACCCCTGGGCAGGTTGTTATGTATAAGAAAGCAGGCTGAGCATGGGCCGAAGGACCAAGCCCATAAGCAGTGTTCCTCCATGACCTGTGCTTCAGCTCCTGTTTCCAGGTTCCTGCCCTGAGTTCCTACCTTGGGCTCCCTCAGTGATGAACTGTGACCCAGGAGATGTTGGTATTGGTCAGAGTATTTTGTCACAGCTATTGAAAGCAAACTAGAACAGAAATTGGTACTAGGAATAAGGTATTGGTGTGACAGATTGACCTTGATGTTTTTGGGAGGACTGGAAGCATTTGGAACTTTGGGCTAGAGAAGCCATTGCATGCTTAGAGTTTGTTGCTGTGGAACTTGGAACAGTCAGCTGAAAGAGTTGTACATGACAGAGGCCTGGCTTGCAAAGCTTCAAAGGGAAGTGGAGATTATCAGGGCTGTTTGTGTGTTTCTGGTCGGCTGGGGCTGAAGGATCAGCTGTGATTAAGAAGAGACCAGAACCACTGAAGAGGAACCTTTGCCGTACTGGGACAATTGATGCTGGTTAGCTGGGAATGAAAAATCAGCTGCTCGAGCTGGAACTAGAACTTGGTAATATATAAGAATCTCCTGCATGATTCTGGTGTTGAAAAGCGTGAAGGGGTCACAGAGAGCAGCTGAGGCTTGGCACTCTGAGAGGCCAGGAAAAGCCATTGGTGAAGTGCAGCCTCAGTTTCAGTGGAGACCCCAGCTTTTTGGAGGTGTCAGGACCATGGGATGACCACCAAGGGCACCATCAGGTGTTGAA